GTTATGATCACAAAGATATTACTAACAATTTGTTGAAAGATATTTGAATTTTCAATTTACGCATCCTGAAAAGCTCATTGTCAGATAGCAGAAGTTTGATCGCTGCAGAAGGAACACTCGTCTGNTTCGATTGAGATGAGACATAGACCATGATCAGTATAGGCTATCAAGCGATAAAATGTTTTGGGATGAAAAGGGAGTACATAGATGATTGAATTACATACACAACGTGCTTAGCAGTTCTGTATTGCATCAGTTGTTGTCATGGTACTGGATTAACGGTAATGAGGATATCAATTTTATTTGTTGGCATTTATGTCTCAGAGTGTTTTTCTTTATTGTTTAATTGTAAGTGCACTTGGTTATGATCACAAAGATATACTAACAATTTGTTGAAAGATATTTGAATTTTCAATTTACGCATCCTCAAAAGCACAGACAGCAGAAGTTTGATCGCTGCAGAAGGAACACTCGTCTGTCACAGAACTGAATTCGTTGTTGTATTTTTGTGATTGCTCCTTTCTTAGTCTGTGATCTCGACGTTGATTCTAGCGTGCAGTCTGAATTTGTCATACAATGGTATTACTGTCAACCTTGTGGTTATTATTATGGTTGACCGTAATTAAGATTTTCCTTAAGTTTAGCATGGATACCATGACTTCGGCATCATTGCTATATTGTCATATTGGTCGTTGTCGTATTTCGCTGTTATTGATTATGATTGTTATTGTTATTATTGTTCCGAATGTCGATGTTCCAGCGAATGTCGCTTCTCAACGTTTCGTTTTTGATTCGGTCATTTTTGTAGTAATAAAACTGATTTTAAGAAGGAATGGATGTGAGCGATTCGGACGTTTCAGCTGAACGAAATCAAATTGAAAAAATGGTACCAGAATTGGGATTTGGTTACGATTGTGAGAAGGAACCGTTCCAGCAAGGTGCTGAGGCGAGACTTTATCGATGCACGTTCTTGGGCAAGAGTGCCGTTTTGAAGGAACGTTTCCCAAAAAAATATCGGTTAGTTGTTGAAAATTATCATCTTTGGGTTGAACATTGCACAGCAGGAGGCAAATGTACTCAATGTCTGTCTGTTCCAGTAACGATGGTAACAACTACGTTAACATAAATTTTGATGATGCGCTTGATAATTATCAGTTTTGCCTTACCTTGTTCGTTCATTTCTGTTTG